AACTGATATTGTTTAATGAAAAGCTGACCAATTTTTAGCCTTTTTTTTTTGAGAGAGAGAGAGAGAGAATCTTAAGCAGGTCCCATGTCCAGCCCGGAGCCCTGTGCCGGGCTTAATCTCACAACCCCGAGATCATAACCTGAGACGAAACCAACAGTCAGACACTTAACGGACTGAGCCACCCAGACACCCCTATTTTTATTATGGTTCTTAAATTCTCTACAGGTGATATATCTTTATTGCCCATACCTGGGGTAGGGCAGACCCCACCCCACCCCACCATCATCCCACATTTGGTAGGTCACTCCCAGCAGTACCGGGATCCATTTCCCTCCTGGTAACTGTGGACCAGAGCAGAACGCCAGGGGGTGCCCTTCGCAGGCATTTAATTTCTCAACCCTTAATTTAAAGGACCTTCCCCAAAAGCTTCCCCTGACATTCTTTCCCCCTTTGAGTCTGAATCAAGTACATCTCCTTTATATTCCCATAGGACCCTGTGCCTGGTTCTATCGCTGACCTCTTACCCAGTATTACATGTCCCCAATTCTAGGCCATGGAAGTAAGGACTGGAGCCTATGAATTGGTGAGTGCTCAGTGTTCTGGCCAGTGCTCAGTTCTGGCCACGTCTAACATGGCCGTCTCGAAGTTAAGCGCTTTCAGGAAGGGGCTGGTAGTACCCAGGAGGTGGTGTGGAGCTGCTCCAGGGCGTCAAGGGCCCGCAAGGTGGGGAGGAGGCCTTGCAGCTAACAGAACTCTTTTATTCTACGGGTCACCTCAAGGAACGTCTCACCCATATCACTAGCCCACTAGCAGGTGAGAAATTGGAGCTCACAGAGCTCGGGGGGATTGCTCACGGCTACAGAGGGACTCACTGGCCAGGCCTGGACACACACTTCCAGACCTCTCCGCCAGGACAACCCCCCCCCCCCCCCCCCCCGTCCGTCCGCCCGCCCGCCACAGCCCTGCGTCCAGTCGGGGCAGCTCCGACCTCACCTAGCTTTGCCCATGTGCTCGTTTGACCGGGAGGGGGCGCCAGATGCCCGTTCCTGGTGAGGCCGGGGCCCGGGTGGGGGTGGAGGGACTGCTTCTTTGAAGGAGGCCCACCCGGACGGAAGCCGTGAAGTTGGGAAGCCCCGGTAAAGAAAGGGTGTGTGTTGGGGGCAGTTTTGTAAGAGAGCCGGAGTTCGGGAGCGTTGGCGGCTGGCTGGGACGCGGAGGAAAGGTCACTCGTTGCCTCCTTCGGGCCCTGCCTTGTCTGGCCCTGTTGGAGAAAGGGAGGGCTCTCCGGAGCGGAGGGCCGCTGCCTCCCCCCTCCATTCCCAGGCTCGCTCAGGGCCTGGCGCAGACCGGACATTCCTAAGTCTCCGACGGGAAACCAGGAAAGAGACCGGGAGGCCAGCCTCCCTGCAGCCTGGGCCGGTTCTTCCAAAGCCCGCCCTGGCCCAGGACTTCCCGGAAGACCCCAGGCTCCTGAACATTGCCCCCCGCTGGAACTTCCCCCACACTCTTGCCTCCAGCCCTCCTGGCTCCTCCCACCAAGCCTGGGGGATCAGACCCACCCCCTTGAGCCCTGTACAAGAAATTGTTATCCACCGACTTCCAGGTCAAACCCGTGATCTGTCCCCCTAAACCTGGCTCTCTTCCCGAGTTCCCTCTCTCAACGAAGAGACCAGTATCCATCTGGTTATTTAACCTGGAAAGCTTAGAATCATCCTTGACACCTTTCTTTTTCATTCCCTGTGGCCAATCCATTTTTTCACCCCTCGTGTCCCAGTTTCCACCACTCACTGGCCAATTGCCCATCCTCTCTTATCAGAGTTGATGTTCTTGCCTCGACTCCCTACTGTGTCTCTTCCCCTCTCCGCTCAATCCCTTCTCCAGGTGATAGCCCTGATAATCTTTTCAAATCATTAATCTGATCATGTTGCCCACCTGCTGAAATCTTTCTCGAGCTTCCTAGTGCTTTTGCAATAAAGACCAAACTCTTAGCATGGCCCACAGGGTCCTGCATGGTTGGTCCTTCCTACATCTCTGGCACTACCCACCCTCTGTCTTTGTTCCAACTACATGGGACGTGCTTGTCACAGGGCCTTTGCACATGCTGTTTCTTCCTCTGCCTAGAATCCCCCCCCCGCCGCCCCGCCTTGTTAACTGCTACTCCTTCAGACCGAGGCTCTAGCATTGCTTTCTCAGGGACACCCTCCCTGACCTCCCTGACCAGGTCAGATCCCTTATGACTGACTCCTAGAACCACATACTTCTCTTTCACATATTTGTCATAGCTGTAATTGTTGATTTGTTTGCAGTATTACTTAAATAATATCTGTTTTTTCTACTAGACTATAAGTCCCGTGGGGGTAAGGACCGTGTCAGTTTTTACTCACTGGAAGTCTCCAGCACCCATGTACCTGGCACATACTAGGGGCTCAATGTTTCTTGAATAAATAAGCAAATGAATGTTGCACACTTCTCTCCATCTCTATTTCCAGATGCTAAGCCTGTATCATCTCCTCTCTGGACCTTGGCAATCACTTCTTCACTGGTCTCCCAGTTTACAATCAAGCCTCTACCGGTTTCCCAGCCAAGAGCAAGAGTGGTCTAATAAAAATGCCAGTCTGACCATGTCACCCTTCCCACCCCATTTCACAGCCTTCAGTGGCCTCCCCATGGCCCTTGGAATAAAATCCAAACTCCTGACCCAGCCTTACAAGGACTTGCACAGTCTGGCTCACCTCATGCCAAGCCCCACCTCCTCAACGGACCTTTCTTAATTCAACAAATATTGAGTGCCTATTGTACCAGGCCTGAGGATTTTGTGGTGAGTAAAAACAGACTCCTTCAGATCTGCTGACAATCCTCCAGATCCTCCTTTCCCTGCAGGGCCTTTGCACATGCTTTCCCCCTGTCTGGAAAGTGCTTCTCTCTCCTTTCTCCACATTCCTACTTTGCCCAGTCAGTACCTGCTCACCAGCCAGATCTCAAATGAAACACCATTTATTCAGGGATATCTTATCTGACCCCCTACTTTGGTTCCTCTGTTAGATGCTTTTATTGCTTCCTATATTCAGTCTTCATGGCACTTACCGCGTTTCCTATTTTTGTATTTGTGTGGTGATTTAGTTAATACCCACCTTCCCCACCGGGAGCTTCAATGTCTGTTTTTTTGCTTAGTATTGTATCGCTCTGGTGCTTAACTGGTGCTCCACACTATACTGAATGAATAAAGAAAGGAGTAAATGATTCCCTTGCAAGAGTTTTCGGAGGGCACTGCTGCCAGGGAAATGTCGGTGCCTCTGCCTCGGTGTGAATATGATGAGCTGGGATGGGGGGGTGTGTGTGTGAAAAGGAGCTCTCACCAAGGAGAGGGCCAAGAAGCTATTAGTCCCTCCTTGGGGCTCCTGATCCCAACACCTGAGACTTGGCCCCGCCCACCTCCCACCCCACCCAAGCTCTCCCCAGCAACCCTGCTCCTGCCCCTACTCCTCAAGGGCTTTCCACATACTGACCCCTCTGCCTGCACCTCTTCTCCCTGTTCTTTCTCCCATGGCTGGCTCCTCCTCAACCCTCAGGTCAAATTTACATGCTGCTCCTTTAGAACACACCTTCTCTGAGTAGGTTTCCCTGGTATTGCTTATCCTTTCATCCAATTCATTTCCTTCTTTGAAATGGACATGCACGTATGTATTTATTGTCTGTGTCCCCGGATGAGTGAGAAGCTTTTGGTTACATCAAACAGAAAATCCAGCTCCATTGGCTTAAACAGTAAGTTGTCTGGTGGTAGGACTGGATTTGGGGTTGGTTAACTCAGTGGTCTTCTCAAGGACTTAGGTTCTCTGCATCTCCCTGCTCTGCCACCCTTGATGTTGGCTTTGTCCTCAAGCTGGTCAGCAGGATGGATGCAGCAACTCCAGCCATCACAGTCAACTTCATATCATACAAGCAGAGTTTTCTCCCTTGTTATGTGTCTTAGTTAACTATTGCTGTGTTAACGAATCATCACAAAACTTAGCTGTCTAAAACAATATTTATTATCTCACAGTTTCTGAGGGCTAGAAACCCAGGAGTGGCTTCGCTAGTTGGTTCTGGCCGAGGAGCTCTCGTGAGGTTATTGTCAAGCTGTTGGCCGGGACTGAAGTCATCTGAAGGCTTAGTTGAGGCTGGAGAAGCTGCTCCCAAGGTTATTCATGTGGTTGTTGGCAGGGGGCTTCAGTCTCTTGGCATGCAGGCCCCTCAGGCTGTTTGCAGTGTAGCAGGGGCCTCCTCCACAGAGGGTCCAAGAGCGGGAGAGTGACCAAAACAGAAGCTACAGTGTCTTTTATGACCTAACCTCTCATGTGACATGCCATTGCTTCGGCTGTGTTCTGTCGGTCACTCAGCCCAGCCCTGGTACAGCCTGGAAAGGGACTACACAGGGTGTGAACACGAGGAGATGGGGGACACTGGGAGGACCTCATTTTTTTTTCTCCAAGAGTGAGGATGCCTCTCCTAGAAGCCCAAGAGGCTTTTCTTTATATCTGCTGAACCACAGTTGGGTCGCATGCCTGTACCTAAACCAGTCACTCATGAGGGGTTGGGGACCATCATTTTTGCGTCATTACAATCATGATTCACCCCTGGGCCTAGGATCTACCTCTGCTGAAGCACGGAGGTGGGGGGGGGCGGGATCCAGGAGGAAGATGGCCACTTGAACAAAATCATTTGGGCAAATGGGAATGGATGTTGAGTAAGCAACTGAGTGTCTATGACACTCACCTGCTAGACTGTAAACCCTGTGAGAACAGATCTTTTCCTACTACTGCATCTCTACAACGTAGTCCACTGCCTGGTACCATATTTGTTAAATGAATGAATTCATTACAAGATGGAGACCACATGCAGGAGGTCTAGAATTAGTACCGGATAGGGGCAGATATCACCAGGCCCTGGCTCCTTAAGTTCTTAGAAGGCAGGAGGCCACCTGCTCCCACCCACCGCCAGCCCCAAGGATAGACAGGACTGGCAGAATTATTCTCACTTTATTTCTGGAGAAGTTTGATCAGATGCAATAACACTGATTCCAGGCGAGGGCAGGGGGCATGGGTACCCCTAAAGCAACCAGTATCCTGTGGCCCAAGGTGCCCCCCATCCCCAGACCTGGGTTCCCCCTCAGTTACAGTTAAATAGAGAGAGGAAGATCACCCCAGGGAGTCTTGGGAGGGTCTGCCTCCTGCACCCGCCCCCGACACGCAGAGGAGTCTGAGCACAAGCTATTTACAGTATTCACATCCACTGTACCCCACCAAACCAAGGCAAATACTACAGGTGGCCCCTCCCCGAGGGAGGAGGCCAGAGAGGCTGTGAGTGTATGTGTGTGTGGGGGGGGGCGCGCGCGTGTGAGCACACGAATGCACTGAGGGACAGGATCTGGCTCCGGCCAAAGAGACATCAGTCTATAAGGTGCAGATTAAAAATAACAGAGGACCCACCCCCAGGGGCCCAGGCCACTTCTGGCTTTGTTCTGTCTCTTTCTCTTGCGGACGTCCTGGTAGATGATGCAGAGGAGCCCTCAGCTGCACCTGGATCCAAGGCAACCTCCTAAAGGACTTCTGGGGAAAAAGCAGCGGGGGAAACAGTCAAGGCAAACCATGCCTCCAAGCCCAGATGTCTGGGGGTCTTCAGGGTGGAGTGTGACAGGGCCTCTGGCAGAGCTGGAAGAAAGGGCAGGGCTGGGGAGTCTGGAGAAGGCTGCTGGGAGGGAAGGCAGGGGGCCAGGAGTCAGGGATCCCTACCTGTGACCTGTGGGGGCTGTACCACAGCTTTCTTGAGGAAGGCTTCTGCCTCTGCAAAGGGCAGGAGTGCCTCTGGCGTTCGGCCCAGACTCTTGTCCCCAGAGGGCCCCTTAGGGGAGAAGCCATTCTCCTGGTGTGCAGGGAGAGGCTGTAGGCCATTCACCAGGGACCCTGGCGACTCCTTGCTTGGCAGGCTGTGGATGCAGGGCCAACACTTAGGCACTCCCACCCCAAGACCATCCAGGCACCCCACAGCTCCAGTGTGATCCTGACTCCCCGCTCAGGGTAACTGGTACCTCCACTGAGGCTCCTGGGGGGCCAGCTCCTCTTTCTGCACTGCCTCCTTCTGCAGCCCCGGGGGCCGAGCCTCCCCGGCTTTCACAGGCTCTGTCACAGGGAAGGAAGGCCCATCAGTTAGGAGCTGGGGAGAGGAGGAAGTTTGAGGGTGGGTGGCTAAGGGGATGGAGATGAGGGGAACAGGGCCTTTACCTGGGCTGAAATTGTTGGCTTGTGCCTCCTTCCTGTCCGGCTTCTGCTTGGAATTGGAAGAGCAGTCAGACTCAAGGGCTATCTGGCCCCCACCCGGTTCTGGTGCTGACTTCTCCTCTCTCCCGGCCCAGACCCTGAGTGCCCCCCTCCCACGCGCCCCAGCTCTGTTCCTCACCCCCAACACTGCCTTTGGGGAATCCTGACCTTGGTTTCAGCAGCTTCTGACTTCCGAGTCCTCTTCATTATCTCCTCCAGACGCTGTTTGGAGGCCCCACCATCAGTTAGGTCCAAGTCCTGCCCTACGTGGAAACCTCCCACCAGCCAGCCCCTGTCCTGAATGTCCTTCCCAGGCCAGGAACCAGCACTCACCCCAACTCCTTCCCGACCGACCCTTTACAAGCCCGAGAGAGGGCCCACCGCCCCAGCCTCCACTGGCCCCGTAACTGAAGCGGGAACCCAGCGCAGAGCACTGCCCCGCCCACGGAAGCCCCGCACGGCTCTGCAGACCTTCTTGCGCTCTTGCCGCTCCTGCTCCTCCCGCTGGAAGTGCTTTTCCCGCTCCAGACGCTGCCTCTCGGCTTCTTCCCGGGACCGAGCTTCGGCCTCTTCTTTCTGCCAAGGACCCCCGCGAGCTCTAAGCAGCGGGATCCCCCCCTTCCCTCCGGGCCGGCCCCCAGCCCGCCCCCAGGAGGCGCCTGCGCCCACTTCGCACTGCCCGCCGGCCAGCCAGCCAGCCAGCCCGCGGGGGGGGGGGGCACCTGCTTCTGCAGCCGCTCCTGTTCCTCCTGCTCCGCCTGCGCCTTCTCTCGGGCCTCCTGTTCCTCCCGCCTCCGGGCCTCCGCCTCCCTCTCGGCCCGAGCCTCCGCCTCCCGCGCGAGCTGTTCCTCCCGCATGCGCCTGGGGCACAGAGGAAATTCGGGCTCAGTCCTGCGCTTCTGCCGCAGCCTCCATAAGGGCCCCCCTCAGTCCCCAAGGGCGCACTTACTTGTCCCTTTCTGCTTGTAGCCTCCGCTCCTGTTCCTCGCGCTCCCGCTGCTCCCGTGCTTGGCGCCGCTTCTCAGCCAGGAGCCGAGTGGCCTCTTCTCGGTCTGTGGTGCCAGCCATGGGTTTGCTAGGGGTCGTTGATGGAGCAGGAGCTGGGGGTGAGGTCAGGACAGCAGTATCTGGAGTGGGATCCAGGACCAGGAGTCAGCACACACCAGCTCAGGCACCTCCATCACCACTGCCTGCCCCCAGCTTCCTGGACCTCAGGGCGACCCACCCACCCAACTTCTGCCATGGACTCAGAGTGGTGTGCAGTCCTCCCCTTTGGCCTGTGTTCTGGGCCTGGACCTGCTGAGGGCCGGAGCCTCCAACACCCAGTCCCCAGGCACCTCTAGGCCCCTATCTCTGACCACGTCTCCCACACAGGCAAAGTTGGCTTCCCTCGCCCAGCCCACCTGCAGGGATCTCGGCTGTGGGCTGCTCCTTCTGGGGCTGAGCTGGGGTGGGGGAGGGCACAGGCGAGGGTGCTGGTGAGGCTGGGGCTGCTGGCTCCTTCTCCTCACTGGTCTTGCTCTTGCTCTGGTTCTTGTCCACAGGTCCTGTAGCACTGAGGCTCTCCTTTGCCTCATCCTTCCTCCGCACCCGCCCCTTGGGTGATGCAGTGGTGCCCCGAGGGGATGGTGGTTTTGGGGGTAGAGCGTGGCCTGGCCCTGGGCTAGGGCAGGGAGAGGCAGGCCTGTGCCAGGATGTGGGGGAGGATGGCCGGGCCTTGGCCTTGGGACTGAGAGAAAAGGAAAAGTTAGGCTTTGAGCACAGCGTCCACACACACATGTACACACGTACACACGTACACACCCTCTGAGCATGTCATTCCCTCAGGAAAGTATCCCCGCCTCCCCAGGGTAGCTCAGCTCTCCCCCACCTTATAGGCTCTCGCAGAACCAGATTATTTCCTTTTAGAGCATATGTCCCAGTTTGTAGTCACATATTCATTTGTGAGTGTTCAATTAATGTCTGTCTCACCGATAGTCAGTAAATGAGAGCAAGAACTGAGGCCTGGCTTGGCTCCCCAACGTGTCCTCAGCGGCCAGAAAGGACCTGGCAGGTCCAGTTCATTTATTCAGCAGGTATTTGGCCAGTGCTTACCAGATGCCAGGCACTGTTCTGGGTGCTAGGCTACTTCAGCCATCAAACACACACAAGGGGCACCTGGGTGGCTCAGTCGTTAAGCATCTGCCTTCAGCTCAGGTCATGACCCCAGGGTCCTGGGATCGAGCCCCGCATCGGGCTCCCTGCTCAGTGGGAAGCCTGCTTCTCCCTCTCCCACTCCCCCTGCTTGTGTTCCCTCTCTCGCTGTGTCTCTGTCAAATAAATAAATAAAATCTTAAAACACACACACACACACAATCTGCCCGCAAGGAGCTTTCATTTTCATTCTAGGGGTGGGGGCCCAACAAATATTTGTGAATGGATGGATGCGCGAAAGAAGGGCCGGGTGACGCCGGGGACGTTCAGGCCCCACCGCGCGTGCGCACCTGAGCTCGGCGGTGCCGGCAGACAGGCGCGGGCGCGGAGACGCCGGCAGTGACTGGCGCTTCTTGAGGCTGCGCTCCCTGGCCAGGGCATTCTTTTCCTTCTCATTTTCCCGCTCCTTGTCCTTCTTCTCCTTCTTCTGCACCTGGCGGGGAGGGGGAAGCAGAGGGGCGGCAGGGGTTAACGGCGCTGCGCTCCCTGCGCCCCGGCTCCCCGCCGCGCCTGCGCGCGCACTCACCGGGGAGGCCTCGGGCCGGCGGCGGACCAGGGCCGGGCTGCCCCCAGCGCTGGGCTTGCGGCGCTCCCCGCGCTCCCCAGCGGGGACGCAGCGGTGCGCGTTTCGGGGGGCGCTGCTCGGCGGCGTCAGGGGGCTGGCGGAGGCCGAGCGCGGGCACACCGGCACGGCTGCAGAGGGATGAGTGCGGTCGGGGTGCGGCCCACGAGCGAGGCTGGCCCCTGTCCCGCCCCTCGTAGGGGCTCTCCCAGGGCCGCTGCCCCTACCCTGGTCCCGGCCGTTGCGGGGCAGCGTGACCGCACTGCGACTCCGTGCCAGGAAGGAGAGGGTGGGTGTCATCAGGCGGTCCACGATGCTGCTCTCCCACGCGCTCAGCTGCAGGCTGCGATCTAGAAGGAGAGTGCCAGGAGCAGGTTACCGCTGGGGGCCGCAGCAGGCAGGCAGAAGCCCAGGGGGTCTGTTAGGTACCATCCGTGCCAAGCCCAGGGAGGCTTCCTCCAGGACCCTTACCCCAGTCAGGTGGGGCCACATTTGTCTGCCCTGGGGCCTGACCTCCACTGCAGACCCAGGCAAGGAGAGGCTTCCCAGGGCAGTGTCCTGCACCGCTCGAGGGCCCCCTTTACCACTTTCCCTAGGTGAACGACCCCGTCTCCTCCCATCCCACTGCAAAGCACTGCTCCTCCTGCTACCAGAGGGCTGGCATGGGGAGGATGACCCCATGAGTTGGGGACAGTGAGGGTCCTTGTGCTCCTAACGGAGGGGTGTCCCAGGCCAGACGGAGGCTGCTAGGGGGCCTGGCTGGCCTGGGCCACCCTGCTCTGTCCCCTCAGCTGCTGGGTTATTTTTAAGCCTCAGTCAGGTGGAGTCGGTACAGCAGCTGATTTGGTTGCTAGGCAACAGAACAACCAAATAAAAGCTGGAGAAACTTATAAATAACTCCTACCGTGGCCCCTTCACATGTGAGCACCAGGGCATGGTGGGAACACAGGGCCATGCCACATTGGTCGGCCACAACTCTGGAGCCAGCTAAAGCCCCAGCTAGGGCTCTGAAGGCAGAGAGGGTGTGGGGTTGCTTGGGCCCCCCAGGGTGGAGCTGGAGAAAGGGGCCCCCTCTTGCACACACAGCACCCAGGCTAGTCTGGTGCTCAGGGGCAAGGCCACCTGCCTAAGGCTAGCCGAGGCCAGCTGGCAGTGGTTGGAGATGAGGCTGCCTGCCCATTCCCACTCTCCACCCCTACCCCCAACCCCACCCCTGCCCCCACCTCCACCTGCTGTTGAGGCCCCAGCCAGGCTTTCTGTCTGCTGGGACACTGCCCTTTGTCTCTGTTCTTCTCCCCTGCAGGGCACACCTCTGTCCTCAGGGTCCAGACCCAGACGCCACCACCAGCTCCCCTGAGGGGCGCAGAGCCACTGAGTGGGGTAGAGTGGGGATGGAGACCTGGCGTATGTGAGGGGTCCTGGAACCTGGGGTTCTTGCTGAGCTCTGGAGGAGGCTTGGTGGGGGGCTACAAGGGGCTCTGGAGGGAGGAGGGCTGGGCCTTCTCTTACTTCTACTGGGGGAGTTCCAGAGCGTGGCAGAGGACTTTGAGAGCCGCTTGTTGATTATAGAGTCCACGTGTTTAGGCAGGTTTACTGCCGACACGGAGCACCTGCTCCCACCTGGAGGGGAAAAGACACGGCATTAGGGCCGGGCCGGACAGGAGCCAGGGGGGGCACTGAGGCCTTCCATGCAGGATGCTCCGCGGGCAGGGTGGGAGAGGGAGGAATGGGCAGGCTAGGAAGGAGAGGAGGAGGCAGACTTGGCTCTGGGAGGAGGGGGAGGATAGGGGACCAGAGACAACCTGGACTGGGGGAGCTGATGGAGAAGGAACAGAGGAAAAGGATGGAGCAGAACTAGAGAAACTATAGCCCTCCTGGCCAGGAAGCCATTCCCTAGGGCTGGGCGCTGCAACCCTTCCCCCACAGCCACCCAGCCTCGGCACTTGCTAGCACTGCCCCGCCAAGGCGCTATGGCTACAACACCCACGTACTGGGACAAATGCAGAGACATTCCTAAACAGAAAAACCCACAGTCACGGTCACACAAATCCACACATCCATAGGGGCACACAAAACAAGTACATGCAGGCACGGGCACAGAGAGTAAAAGGTACACTTCCACATGCACATGTGTGTGCAGACATGCACAGACACAGAAACACAAACATTAACAATGTGTCAGACCCAGATGCACACAGGCACAAACACATCGAAGCAACTTAATCATGATATTTGTAGCAGCTGATGTTTGTTGGATGCTTACCATGTACCAGGCACCGTGCTGGGCACCACACACATGTTACCTCACTTGATCCTCCCAAACATCTACCTACAACCTCGGAGGCAAGTAGTATGGTTATCCCCATTTTACAGATGAAGAGACTGACATCGAGATGTTAGAGGTCATACTGCAAGTGCCAGAGCTGGGGTCCTAACCCAATTCTGTCTGACTCGGGAGCCCTCACTGAGGTACACAAAGCCATAGACACACCAAGGCAAACAAACGCATACTAAGATACACAACACACAGATCCATGAGCACATACACAGAAAGGAACACAGCTGGAAATACTGCACTCTGCCATTACCTAAAGACATCCAAACACAATGGGACATACATGCCAGCCAAGAACCAGACCCAAATCCTGATGGCCCTACATGAAGAAAACTCAGAGACACACATATCTACCTCCCAAGACAAGTTCACAAGGGGGTGACAGTTTTCTTAAATACCCAGTGTCTGCAGGGCATTAAAGTGTTCTTTTCTGTATCATCGACTAATAGTAATAACAGGAACAAAGAGGCTCATCTAAAACGACAGAGGTTTGAAGAGCAAACCAAACGAAGAGAATTCACCTCTGACTTGATAGCAGAAGTCCTTGGGAAGGGACAGTTTGGTTTACAAGACCATTCCAGAAGACACAAGTCACATGAAGCAAGGCATACCTGCTGCTGCAGGGGGCTGCCAACTGTTGGCACCGAAGCTCCTCCCTGGCCCCACTCATCAGGCCCCTGCCTCGCCCCCCCGCCCCCTCCAAGGCCCTCCAGCCCACTCACTGGTCTTACGTCCTGGGGAGCTGTGGTGCAGGGCTCCTGCCCAGGACCAGCGCTGCTGCCGGATTTCAGCCCAAGTCTTCTTCACTGACCGCTGGATGGCTGCTTCATAGCGCTCCTGGTGGGGTGAGGGGAGAGGGTAGAGGTCTGGGCTCAGAATCATTCAGCATACCTGGGAGAAAGGCCCTTCTCTCTGCTGTGACAATGTCTCTCCCACCCAAGTTTTCCCTGACTCATTGCAGGTAACCAAGGTTACTGAATCCTCGCTATGATTAAAGACCATTTGTAACAAATCCCTTCCAACTTGTTCTTGGGGAGCTTTTCACTGTTCTTGAGTCATTTCCTGGATGTATGAGCTGTTTCTCTGAGGATGGGGTGGGACTTTCCCTGCCTGAGGCTCCCAAGCGGGGCCATGTCCCCCTGGCCCTGAGGGTCCTGACCTTGGGGCTACGTTCTCCTTTTAGCCTAAGTGCCACCCCCCCCCCCCGCAGGGGCCCGGCCACTTTCTCCTTCCTTTCCTCACCAGGGCTCAAGCCAGGGCCCTCCTCCCACCCTGGAGCTCAGCACACTCACAGAGACACATCTCCTCATGCATGAAAACACACCCGCCTGGGACACACACACAAATACTCGCACTGACACGGCTACAGGTGCCCCCCCCCCCCCCCCCCCCAGCATGCACAGAACCAAATGTATCTGCAGCTGCACAGATGCCCAGATGGTGCACACTCAGGGACACAACTGTAGATATGGATACGGATACTACCGCGTAGACGCAGATGACGCCGAGGCGTGGACACAGATACGTGTCCACACTGAGCCAGCGTCCACACGTGTGCGTGCGTGCACGTGTCCGCAGACCCGTGCCCCCCTAGTTAGCGATGAGCACGCACGCACCTTGTTCTTCTCCAGCTTCTGCCGCTGCCGCTCCTCCAGGGCTGCCCGGCGTTGCTCGGCTTTAAGCCTCTGCTCTTCCAGCCGCCGCCGGCGCTCCTGGAGCTGCTTCTCCCGCAACACCTTGGCCTTCTCCTCCTTCTCCAGCCACACTGCTTTCTTGGCCGCTGTGGGGAAGGAGCCCCAGGGGGTGTGAGGGGTCTCAGTCAAGTAAATGGCCTTCCCTGTTACCCTGGCCCGAGGTGGGTCTTTCTTCCGCCTGCTTGGAGGCAGGGAGGGGTGGGCCCTCTGCTCCCAGACTCCCTGCCTCATACTGAAGGGCTTCTGGAAGACAGGCTCAGGCCTAGAAGGAGGATTTCCCTGATGGAAGGTCTCTTTCTCCCCCATTGGCCTCATGGTTTCTCAGTGCTAAAGGAGACATGAGTTCCTTAGGGCCAGATCCCTGTCTGACTTTGGAGCCTGCTGGACAGATTTCACGTATTGCGTGATTAAGAGCATGGGATTGAGGGTGAGATGAGGCTTCTGGGTCTGAACCGCAGGTATTCCACTGGCTGTGTGCGGTTTAGGAAAATGATTTCATCTCTCTGAGCCTCTGTTTCCCCATCCTCAGAACGGGTGGAGAGAATTAAGTGGGATAATGCATGTACGGCTCTTAGCACAGGGCACGCAATTAAGCGTTCAAAAGTGTTAGTGCTGTGGATAAGAGATTGACGGTGAGGGTGGTAGGGATGATGACGCTTCCCCAGCACTCACCCAGATACTTGGCCCGTTCTTCTCGCCGCTCCTTTGCCAGCTTGTGTCTCTCTCCTGCTTTCTTTACATCTTAGTCAAGGGAATGAGAACAGACTTAGGTCAGAAGCTCGCCCCAAAAAGGGGAGTCAACCTCAGGGTCCGCCCCCAGGTCTCATCCCCATCCCTTTTATCATCTCCTCCCGGGTCCAGGAGATTCCCTCCAGTGGCATCAACCAGGGCTGGAGGCCTGAGCCGAGGAGTTTGGCCCAGGATGAGGGACATCATATATACCTTGCTTGGTGGGAGGGCTGTCAGAGGCTGGCACTGCTGTCGGGGATGGCTGGCTGCTCCTTCGAGGAGGCCTGGCATCCCGTGGGCCTGTGGCTGGTGGGGTGGGTCCCCTGATCTTCACTTCTGAGAAAGGAGACTCTTCCTGCTGGGGGGTTGATCTAGGCCCAATTGGCCCTGGGGGGCTCTCTGGTTCCAGTGGGAGTTCCTTAGAACTAGCGGCATTCTTCATGGCAGGAGGGGTGTCTGGGGGAGTGTCGGGGACCAGGGCTGACATCGGTGGTGGTGGTGGCGGTGGGGAGGGGTCACCTTCTGGAGAAGGTCTTGGCTCTAGGGGGGTCCTGGCTGCCACAGCTGGAAGACCAATACAAGAGAGGAGAGTCAGATAGCACATCCTTGCCATCAGCCCCACACGGAGCTCTCTCCCTCATCCAAATGACATCCATTCATTCACGCAACATGCTTACTGAGTTCCTTCTGTGTGCCAGGCCCTGTTCCAGATGCTAATGATACCGTGGTGAGAACACAGCCATGCTCCCTGCCTCTGTGGAGCTGACCTTCCGGCAGGTAGACAGACAAATAGCTAGGCAGTTACAGCATAGAGTAAGGACTATGTCTGAGGGTAACACAGCAGAGGTGGTTAACCTATATTTGGGGGGCTTCCTGAAGAAGGAAAAACCAAGCTGAGAGCCAGAGGATGAGCTGGGGTTGACAAAGCAAGGAGGAGAGGGTTCTGGCAAAAAGAAGAGCATCTCAGAAGGGGCAGAAGGGAGCAGGGTGTATGGAAAGACCGAGAGAAAGTCGGTAGCACTGGTTAATGCCCGGAGCGGTAATGACTGGTTTCCGTGTCTGCCTCCCCAACCTTTCTGCTTTACTTTGGGGTCATGGGGCCCACCCCAAGGCCTGGTGCACAGAGGGTACCAGTGCTGGGCACATGGGACTGGCCAAGAGGAAGGACATGAGCTTGGGCACAAGCGGGATGCGGTGTTGTTCACTCCCCCATGGGCGGGGCAGCCAGCTACTTTCACTTTGTCACCTTTTTTCCTTTCCCAAACACCCACAGATTTCTTCTTTTAAGACAATAATATTTCAAGGGGCGCCTGGGTGGCTCAGTCAGTTAAGTGTCTGCCTTCGGCTCAGGTCAAGATCCCAGCGTCCTGGGATCGAGCCCTGCATCGGGCTCCGTACTCAGCGGGGAGCCTGCTTCTCCCTCTCCCTCTGCCTGCCTGTCTACCTACTTGTGATCTCTCTCTCTCTCTCTGTCAAATAAATAAATAAAATCTTTAAAAAAAATTTAAAAAAACACAATAATATTTCAAGATCCCTGTAAAAAACAGCCAAGTGCCAAGTAAGGAAGCCATGTGATTTGGTACGGGCCTGTATATGCACACGGGTGAGCATGTATGTATTCTGGAGAGTTGAAAGACAGGCCCGGTTCTGATTTTAGTACCCCAAGATGGGAATGGACTGCATGCTTCCCCAGCAGGTAACCTTGGTGAAGCCACTCCACCTTTTTTTTTTTTTTTTAATTCATTCGAGACAGAGATACAGAGAGAGAGAGAGAGCATGAGCAGGGGGAGAAGCAGGCTCTGTGCTAAGCAGGGAGCCCAACGTGGGGCTCGGTCTTAGGACCCTGGGATCATGACCTGAGCCGAAGGCAGACGCTTAACCATCTGAGCCACCCAGGCGCCCCAACCACTCCACCTTTTTTAAGTCTCACTTTTCACATCTGTAAAATGGGGATATTGAGCCCAAGCTAGCAGGGATGTCAGGGAAGTGCCTGGCAGAATTCATGTGCCAGCAAACACCATTTCCTGCCCTTTCCCTGTGGGTCTTATAAAGCTCTGCATGTTGAGCCCTGCAGCCATCTGCTGCTACTGAGCACTGAAGGGAACAATGGGGACCCGGCCCCCGAAACGCAGGCTCAGGGAGCAGGGCCAGGGTCCGTAAGAAGCTCTATCTATGGAAGCATTTTTTAATTTTACTGGATGTCTCAACCAACTAAGTCCTCTCCTCTGGGAAATCTGGCCCTCTTGGGAGGTGGCGAACCCCCACCCCTGTGGGTGACAACGTGTGTGTAGGGAGAGGACGCTCCCAAGGGGTCATGTTTGGGATTCTGGGCACTTTTTTCAGGGAGACAGGTGTCCTGTGGCTGAATGTGGGCTCTGAAGGCAAACTCTTTGCATGTGAATTCTGGCTTCCCCATTAAGTGTGTGACCTTGGGCTAGTTACAGACCCTCTCTGTGCCACAGCTTCTGCTGCGGGATAGGGATAGTACCTATCTCACAAGATTGTGATTTTAGTGATAATAATAACCCTTAACAGTTACATAGTCCTCAATTTCTCAGCTTCCTATATTCAAAGCATTTTACACATATTTGTTTCAGTTCTCACTGACAAGTACTTATGAAGGAGGCACTATAAATATCTTTTTTATAGATGGGAAAAGTAAAGCAATTTGAGGTCACTCAGCTGGTAAGTGAAGGAGCCCCTGGACTTGAACCCAGCGTCTGTCACCAGAGCCCAGGCTCTTACTAGTTACAGCCTCCTGCTTCTGTTTAAGGCCGTATGAAGTAATATGTGTTATGCAACAAAATCTGAAGCTCACAGTTTTTCACTTATTCCCTCCCTTGCAGCTTCCTGGGCTCCAGGCAAGGGCCCCAGCTGAGGCCCTGTCTCCCTAAGGGCCCGTCCAAGTTGGCCAGCCCCTAGGTTCCATGACAGCCCACCCCACTTTCCCCACACCAGCTGCAGAAGGCTGCCTGGCCCCGATTAGTCTACCTCCCAGACACCTGCAAACTCTATTCCAACTCCAGTGGGCAATATAACTAGAGGCAATCATTTAGTGAGTGTTTGCTATATACTGGGAACTGAGCTAGGCCTTTGTACCCCTATCCTGCATCCTTCTTTGAGCTCTGAGAGGCAGAGATTCTAATCCTCATTATACAGATGAGATGGTCAAAGCTTACCCCATGAAGTGATTTGCCCAGGGTCATAGAACTAGCATGTGGCAGAGGCAGGATTTGAACCCGGGACTGTCTGGGGCCAAAAAGCTTAGGTGTGAGCATTCTAAGCTTGAAGGCTGAGGGTGAGGCCTGTTTACTGTCATTCTCCTAGCACCTGTGCGTGCTGCGGGTGTTGCAAGGAAAACTGGTAGGCGGATGTTTGTCTACACCTAGGTAAATCACACCCACCAGGCAAGACACTGAATCTCCCAATAGGTCCCGGCTAGCTGTGTGCAGCTTGAGAGGGGGAGGTGGGGGGATGAGGCCTGGAGGGACCTGCACTCCAGTGTCAGATGCAATGGAGTAGGAAGAAAGGTCCTAGGCTTCAGAGTCAGACAGGCCTGGGTGGGAAACCCCAGCTCTGCTGTGGGACCTTGGGCAAGCCCTGAGCCTGTGTGAGCTTCAGTTTTCTCACTGAGTTGTTGGCACCAACAGCGAGTAGGTAAGCATCTCTGGTTCCTGGCAGGGGTTCAGTAAGTGGCACCTGCCCAGAGGAATCTGTCCACTTCTCCCGATCTCTGGTACAAGAGCCCATTTGAGTCAGGCCTTCACCCCCACTGCTCCATGACACTGCTCTTCTCAAGGTCACCAGTGAACATTGCTAAATCAGCACGCAGCCGTGTCCCCAGCTCCTAACTTGATGGGCCTTCCTTCCCTGTGACAGAGCCTGTGAAAGCCGGGGAGACTCGTCATGGTAACCGAGGGGCTGCGTTTGACACGGTTGATCCCTGGATGCTCCTTGAACACTTTTGCACTTGGCTGTGAAGACAACACACTTTCCTGGTGTTCCTTCTACCTTGCTGGCTGCGACTTCTCAGGCTTCTTCGCTGATCCCTCTTTAATTGCCTAACCTCTTAGCGCCAGGTGCCCCAGGCTCCGTGGAGCACCTCATCTCCTGTCCGTCTGCATGCACTCCCTTGGTGACCTCATCCAGACTCATGGCTTTAAATACCACTGCTCTGCTGATGACAACCAAGTTTGTGTCTCCAGCCCAGACCTCTCCCTTGAGTTCCAGTTTCGCTCATGCAACTCCCTATTTGACACCCTTGCGTGTCTTACAGACACCCCAAATTGAACACATCCCAAACTGAGCTCCTAATCTTCCTCCCGGGACCCTGCTTCTCTCCCAGTTTTTCCCCATCTCGGTCAGTGGCAACCCCGTCCTCCCAGTTTCTCAGGCCAAAAATCCAAGACGTTTTGGAATCTTTTCTTATCTCACACCCCACATCTAATCTCTCAGTAAATCTTTTTGGCTCAGTGTGCAAAGTATATTCTGAATCCAATCACTTCTCACCATCTCCAATTCTATCATCTTGGTTCAGCCACTCTCATCCCTTATAAAGACTCCCTGCTGAGGCGCCTGGCTGGCTTAGTCGGTGGAGGTGGAGCATGCTCTTGATTTCGGGATTGTAAGTTCAAGCCCCACGTCGGCTGGAGAGGTTACTTAAAAAACGAAATCTTTAAAAAAAAAAAAAGAAGATTCCCTGCTGCCGTTTTCTGTTCCCCTTTCATCTTTTCTCAACACAGCAGCAGAGCGATTCTGTTTAAAAATAAGTTAGATTGGGGCGCCTAGGTGGCTCAGTTGTTAAGCATCTGCCTTCGGCTCAGGTCATGATCCCAGGGTCCTGGGACTGAGTCCCGCATCGGGCTCCTTGCTCCGCGGGAAGCCTGCTTCTCCCTCTCCCACTCCCCCTGCTGTGTTCCCTTTCTTGCTGTCTCTCTCTCTGTCAAAAAATAAAGAAAATCTTAAAAAAAAAATAAATTACATCAAGTCACAACCCTGACAAAATCCTCTGAAGAAGCCCTATCTCGGGTGCCTGGGTGGCTCAGTTGGTTAAGCGACTGCCTTTGGCTCAGGTCATGATCCTGGAGTCCCGGGATCGAGTCCCACATCAGGCTCCCTGCTCAGCGAGGAGCCTGCTTTTCCCTCTAACCCTCTCCCCTCTCATGTACTCTCTCTCATTCTCATTCTCTCAAATAAATAAATAAATCTTTAAAAAAAAAAAAAAGAAGCCCTATCTCTTGGGGAGGAAAAAACAAAGGCCTTACAATGGTCTCTGAGGACCTTCAGGATCCCCCCCCCCTTAGGCCCATTACCTCTTGGGTCTCATCTCCTCCTCCTCCCCACCCCCACCCCAGTCTTCCAGCCGCTGTTCCAAGCATGCTCCTACTGCAGGGCTGTGTACTCGCTGTTCCCTCTGCCGAGATCCTCTGCCCCCATATTGGGGCGCTCCCTCACCTCCTTCAGGCTCTTATGCCAATGTCATTTACACCCTCCCTGACCCTATTTAAAATTACAAACTGCAATGAAGTCTCCCTCCCCTTTCCAACTGTATGTTTTCTTTCCAA